ATCAATCAATTATCTCTACAACGCATGTCACGATCGTATTCTTCGGTCCTTCATCAGCCATCTCTACACGCCTTCATCGAGGCCTTTCACCACCTCACCCTGCCCTTCTGACATCTTCTCGCCCCTGGTATAGTGGTCAATGCCACATCACAGGCGGAACAGTCCTTGTTCAGCTCGACTGCGGCACAAATTTCCCCTCCTCCACAGGCTTGTTGTTGCATTGCAGCCTGCGAGCAATGGGAGGCAAAGACCACTTGTGTGTGTCCGCAAGAGTGTGAGTATGCGTAGTATTTGCACATCTTGTGGGCCTTGAAGAATCTACGCTTCGGTGTAGATGTGATTCGGTCAAGCCTTCGCGTCTGCCGATTCCTGCAAGCCTTGAGTCGAATTGTTGAATGGGACTGTTACCGAGATATGCTTCACTCTGAGCTTGCTGCGCTTAAAGTTTGAGACGTTGGTCGAATTTCTAGGCGGATTGGTTGGTGCTGAAAAGGCTGGCCGCGGAATGCGATGACAGTTTCGCAGATACACTGAAGTCGAGTCGAGCTGGCCAATTTGCCTCTATATAACTTGCTCTTACTTAGGCGACTTAAAACGTCAAGGTGCATTGCAAGCGTCTTTTGCGTTATCAGCGAGACCAGCGTTGGTCGTGGCAATTTCAGACTGACCTGCTAGGTCCTCAGGCGCGTGTAACCTTCGGAGATGACCTCTTGGCAGATATCCTCGATGGCATATAGGCAAAGCAGCCTTTCTTGACTGCCAACAGATGCGATCGGCAGGCTTCTGGTGCTCCCGGAGGACTCGGGGAATTGGGCCTAGCATCTCCAACGGTGAGAAGTCTGAAGCACCAATGCATCAGACTACGTTGCGGTTCGTCAAAGAATCGTATCAGAGAGGCTGAAGACACAAGACTATCGCGCGGCAAACCGGAGCCGATGCACAAGTAAAACAGGAATGCAATTGCGAGGAATAGCCATCGCCGCAATGACTCAACGTTCTGGATCAAGAATCTTAGGGGTGATACGGGACTCGGAATTTAAATGCCATGGAACATTTCGAAACTCCATTGTGCAGCTCTTTCCACAAAAGGAGATGGATGACCAAGACCGCGCAAGACACGCAAAGGACCGGTGTACAATCTGATTTCCTACTACTTTAGTGTTTAGCAGTGCATTAACAGCCATTCGCATGTCAGGACGGCAGGTCTTGCAAGATCGGCTAACTGTCATACTTATGCTCGTACAGAACTCGTGAAGAACGGGACTGGAGGTGCTACATGATAGGGTCCCCGTATGTCATAGCATCGTGCCGTTAGGAGGCGTAACTTGATTTGAACTTTACAAGGTAACATCTGCTGCGTAGCGCAAGATTCAAGTGCATATAGACGGCACGATACAGGTATGGCGCTAGTGGCCAAGCATTACGTGAATACTGGTCGACAGAGGACAGGGTGGCAAACTTGGGCATGCAGTAATGCCCAAGAAACCATCATTGAAGAAATTCGTTAACGAATATCATGTTCTAAATATTGACATGGTTGTCGTCTTGTCGAAGAAGTGAAATTCGGGTTGGTGATGACGTTGAGAAGGTACCTTGCCTTAGTCGGTGGATCCGAACTGTAAGCCCGACCAATAGACTCCAGTCTTGACCGCCTTTTCTTTAACCGCGCTTCAAGTGTAATATAGCCAACGCTTAGGTCGGCACTTGAGAGAACATATGCAAGGTCATTGTTCATACTCTGTTCCTGCAGTTGAGGTGCGAACTGCTGCATATATATATCCGTCCGATCGCCGCCTGCCAGGGAATCCCAGTCTGGGCTAGGCCATCTTCGCTTCATTTCTGGCGATGGGGAGATCTTGGACAGCGAATCGATGCGTTGTCCAGGCGTGTAGAAACCTGTACTAGTCCTGCCTTAAAAAAGATATCACGACACGTTGCACCATATGCGTGCATGAGTGCTGCACCATCCCGGTAATCAGTGATCCACTGCTCGAGCTTGTACAGGACATGCCCGATCGCTTCCCTCGACTTTTCCTCTTCAACTCTCTTCAAGCAAGTAAGTTCTACATCTTAGACTCTGTCAACCTTGGAAGTGGCATTCGTGCGACAAGAGAAGGCCCACTTCTGTCGTGTACCAGTCATATCAGGCTTGAGCGAACCGAGGCGCATTGCGTTACTTTGCTGAGGCTATTGCAGTTAGAGGAAGCTCCAAGATCTCCATTGGGATCTCCATTGGGATCTCCAATGCTCTGAGACTAGAAACCAGAAGGAACTGCGTCCATGACTGATGATTTATGAGAAGCATGATGGTTAACATTAATTATTTGCTTGAGACTCTTATTGATTGACTCGGCTTCGCGTTTAATAATAGTAGCCAGCCGATAGAAGCAAGTCTTGCGAACCCGGTAACAGGTACCATTTCCTGCTGATGATGTAGGGAAGGGACAATGAAACTGACCTTTCTTTTAGTTGCTTGTAACAGTAAGCGACATCCGATATTGTAGTTCACAATTGTGCCAAACATGCTTCCTGCTGTCCGCCTTTACCTCACACCCTATCACACCCTATCGCCTTTCACCGCAGTAACCTAAATCGACGTGGCCAATTACATCACACCGGTTCGAGGCCTTGTGAGAGAATAACAGCTTGCACTGCAGTATAGCATTCTGTCGACCGATATCACCTCCCCATTCCTACGGAAGAAGATTATGCCCTGTTGGTCCTTGAACAATCTTGACCATTCACAATGGCTGTCTCCGCTGTTGACCTGAGGATGCTTGGGGCGTTGGCCGAAGACACTGTCACCAACAATGTACTCCTGTCATCGTGCTTATTCCAGATACTTGGGCTTTCTGTAGCCCTCTCCCAACAGCTTGCAAGGGCTCGAAGTCAACGAAAACTCGATTACACCCGCGACACCAAGTCAATCAAACTCTATCATCATATACTCTGGCTAGCACGTGAAGGATTATCTATCACCGAAGTCTTCATTCTGCCATACTGTCAAGACGGCGAACAAGGTCCAGAATGCAGGGTCATGGCCGCCAAATTACGCGCCTCCTTCTACCACATCTTTTGTCTCTTCCACAACCATCCTCCGGTCTTCCAGATCAAACCAAGTGAACCTTCAACCTCGACAACGAGCACATCAAGACAAGGCCTCGGGTTCAGCAACGATAACCTTGCGCCACTGCCACAAAACGTGGCAGGTCATCGCGACTCGATGGTCTCAGAATCATCCTACATAACAAACCCTTTCGCAGCAACCTCGCCTCCACCAGACTATCCCATCCCTCCACTTCCCTCCACACCGTCTCGACGGGATGCCCCTTCACGACCACCAGGCTTTTCGCCCCAGCAGCACTCACCACCTTCCAGCGCATTATTCCTCCTGCCGCCCTTGAACTTCGTCCCAGCAGCCTCGAATTACTTCCAGATCGCCTCAAGCCTTGCCCGCACGTTGCTACGCGGCGCCCATCCATTGCGTCTTTCGGTGACGCATGAGTATACTGCTTTCCTCTGTGACTGTGTAAAGGATTACGAGGGCGCCAGGCGGGCAGCTGGCGATGCGGTACGTGCTGCTTACGACGACCATACCAACCTAAGCGACAGAGAATGGGAGGATGTGCTCAAGATGGTGCGTGCCTTGACAGGAATTGCTAAACGAGCGGGCGGTAGCAGCAGTAGTAGTGCCGGTAAATCCAGCCCACCAAAAATGGTACCGATGCGTGGGGGTCAGCATCGGACCCGTGATGATTCAGTGCTCGCGGCGAAAGAGAGTCACAAGGCGGGAAATATCGATACTGGAGAATCACAAAAGGAGAATGTACCAGTAGTCATGCATATGACGTTCCAGCAGATGAAAGACTACATGGCAGGGGGGCTCCCTCCTGCTGGGGCGCTGCGTGACCCTTTCACCAAGAAAGAGGACAAGGAATACCGGCGTGGCGGCAATGGGAGTATACCCACTTCCACCGGTAACCCTGATACCATTCACGTCCAATCTAGCCCCCACTTTAAGGCTGCTCTCAGTCCTGATCTGAGGGGTGGAGGCATCAGCAAAACCAGTACCGACGAAAGGGCACGTCGCAACCACCCAAGCAGAAGTCAGACGAGTAAAAGCCAGACCAGCAGCAGAAGCAGCGCAAGAAGAGGTCGTCAAGAAGGAAGTGGAAGCGAAAAGGAGCGCAAGCGGCGCGCAGTAGAACGGGCAGAGTTTGAAGTATCAAAGCGAGCGAGTCAGACGAGCAGTAGTGGAGACAGTGGAACCGGTAGCGGGAGTGTGGACAGCGATGTTACGATCAGGCGGGCTTGGTCTTGAGTGATGGGGCGAAGAAAATAAGGGCGCGAGAGTCGGCGGTCGTAAGTGCATATTTGTAAAGACGGTGGAGATATTGTCTAGCTCATGTTAGCTCTCGAGTGTGCACAAAATGTATATATGTATCCACCGTTCGCAATCCGAGTACGACTTCCGATCAGTCGACCACGCGTGGTAGGATACCATCCATTAGCTTTGTTGATGCAGCCTCTATGTCCCTCGTGCCAATCGCACATGGAAGGACTGAGGCAATCTAACCTATAGGAGTTGGGCTGACTTTGGTTCCTTCCTTGTAGAATCGATAACTGTATGTAATAGATCATCTCATCTAATCATGCCATAGAGCTTGAAACCTGTATCTATGCGGTCCTCTGAGACAGTGGTATGCTCTCCTTTGTATATGTATCCCTCCCTGGATTCCAGCAAAATCAGGTCATAGGGCGACCCTGTTCACCAAAGCCCATGTTTCTTTTTTGGTTTTCCACGAGTCGATGTTTTCGAATACTGATGCATTTCGCCTTTTCGTATGGATCGGAAACAGAAAACCTTCCGCTTGGCGCCACTTGGCCTGCCACAATTACATATCCATTACTGCTTGGTCTAGTCATGCCAACACCATTCGCGAATGCAAAAGTGGCGAGGTTCTATGATGATAACTAATATTGGCGGCCCATTATCCAAAGGCACTTTGGCGGAGTGGTTAACGCGATGCCCTGCTATAGATGTGTAAAAGTCTTAGTCCAGGCATTTCCTTCGGGAGCGTGTGTTCGAATCACACAGGTGTCGTCACTTTTGCGTCTTTGTTCACCGCCAATAAACAATATGTTGTAAAACAATGCGTCTGAAGGCCTGTAACTTTTTTTTCTTCCGCTGGCTGAGTGAACATTTTCGAATATGGAAGTAAAAGCTTGGGTTCGGAATACGAAGCACAATTATCCCAGCTACCCATCCGACCAAGGCTATGCTATGCTATGCTATATACGACTCAACGCAATCCCATGATCCACTCAAAGCCCATTCCCAGCGACCAAAAGAACCTTCTGCAATGCCTCTAGAACCTTCTTGCTCCCATATCTCCTGTCTCCAGCCACGCCAACTGCTTCCACAATGAGCGGATACAACCACCTCAAGTGCATCCTTTCACCTCCATACCTCCCTCCTTTGTTCATCTCAAACTCATCTTCCAACAACAGCTTCGGCTCGCATATCAAATCTTGCATACTCTGTAGAGTGTAAAGCAATTCCTCTACTTGACTTAAAGGTGTGGGCATGCTGCCTCGAAGTGGCTGATCGGCAATGTAGGCCTTGATCGGTATAGCCAGTCGTAGCACTATCCATGGTGCGGCTGCTTTCGCCAATCTTACCCTGTCCTCCCTGTCGGTAACATTATAGGCAGGCTTAGTAGTCAATGCAATGAGCTCATTGAGGCAGAGGTATGCCATTTCCTCGCGCGGGGTAGGCGTTGGATCCCGCACTCTGCCCAGCCGAATTGCATGAAGTTTTGTAAAAGGGTGAGCATCAGCATTTGGCACATCGCCGTGCTCAGGCGCATGTATAATGCTGGCGTGGAAGAGGGAGGAGACATGGGTATTGCGGAGGCTGTCGGGGAGCGATGCGCTGCCCAGACTGGGTATGATCATGTTGCGGAGACTTTTCAGGCTTTCGCAGTCGGATGTCTCATCCTGTTCGAGTTTGTCTACAGAGGGCTGAGGTTTGACGTCCGTCAAATCTGCGTGCATAATCTCGTGCGCAATTCTCACGACTGCTAGCCAGATTCGAGATCTGGTATCTTGCGCGAGCTGAGGCGTTTGCATTTGACGAAGGGCTTCCTTTATGATGGCGAGCGCTGAGGGTACCGCTTTTTGCCATGGTGCTGGACCTTTGCCGTTCTGTTTCCACGTGTACTTGCGCTTAATAGGTACGACGAGGCTCTCAAGAGAGCGAGCGACTGCATTTGACGTAAAGACTTCCTCCTGGGTAATGTGGGAATTGAGTAACTGGACGAGCCAATCCATGCTTGCTTTGGACAAAGCAACAAACGTGAGATCCGTCTTCGGCTTGGGTTGGTTCGGGTCGTCAAAAGGCAAACTGACAAATGCCGCAGCGATCTTGATCATTGTAGACGGAACGGATTGAAGATCGGTCCGCAACTTGCGCAAGCACTCAAGTGCCTTGGCCTGCAAGGGTGTCATGTTGTGTGCATCCATGCTGTGTGACCCCCCACCAGAAGCGCACACGCACTCAAATAGATCCAGAGCCATCGTCTTCAACTCATCCGCCGTGATGGACATTTCGGTCAATCGATATATCTCAGCGGAACACTCTGTATAAGCAAGATATGCCTCTTGTTCAGCGTGCTGCCCCTTTACAGTCGGTATGCCAGATGACCACAACAATTGTGCTTCTTTGATAGCTGGTTTCCATTGCTGGTCTCCAGGGGTCAGCGCTCGTGCTAACGTTGTTACTGCAGAGAAATCGGCCGCCACCACTACAGCCGAGGAACAGGAGAGGTATGACTGGAAGATCTGCAGAATTTCACTCCACAGGCGATCAAAATCCTTTGATGCTGAAATCGCACCAAGATTCTCGGATACCAGAATAGCGCTCTCTTCGAGCAAAGTCTTCGAAGTCGTGTCCAACGCTGCTGCAACTTCAACTGCAATAGACTCACGCTTGGCGGTCTTTTGCCTCGATGCGTCTTCCAGAATTATCTTGAACAACAATGTCTCGAAGCATAGTTGCCATCCAGAGGTTGACAGATCGTCGGCGTGGTTCTTGAATATCCTCAATAGAGTCTGAAAGGCGCCATTCCGGACCTCTGAGCGGTTGTCACCAACAACATCCGCTATCCGGTATAGTGCTAGTAGCCATTGAGCCGCGAGTGACTGCTTGCTTTGAGCAATTATCTGGCTATGCTTCATTCTGGTATCTGATGACTTTGCGGACATGTCGTTCAGGCCCTTCACCGAGACTTTCTTTACCAGGAAGTCTGAAACATCCCAGAAAAGAGTGATTGTCTAGTCAAGTCAGTCGTAGTCTCATCTTCTCATACTGGAAGACTCACAGTCAGTGAGGTATTGAGATCGTTCTCCTGTGATGCGAACCGATACAATATCTCGATGAGCGGGCTAAAGCACGTCTCTGGTAGAGAGGAGAGGAAGTCTGAGCAGACGAGCTGCATGATGCCAAAGGCGGAGCGGCACAAGTATGGAGCAACAACCTGACTGGAGAGATGTAGCCAGCTTTCCTCGGCTTTCTCCGATGCATCCACCGACTCTGGCTCATCTTCTTCGTCATCGAAGACGGTGCTTAGTATGGCGAGGATTGTGTCCCAACCTGCAGTGAGCGCGTCTCCTGACTTCTCCAGAATCGAGCGGACGGCGTCCAGCGCTTTGGCATGGATCTCAACATCAATACTAGTAAGGTCATCGCTTTGAGCGTACAGCTGATGTATGAGTAAGCGCAACGAAGATAATGCCATCTTTTGTGCCAACGCAGCATCTTCAGCCTGCTCAGAGGTACTTGCTTCAGCGATTGATACACTGCACCGACTCAGGATATCCGCTGCTAAACGCCTAGCTTCGACGGGAATCGTTGCATTCACACTGAGATCCACGAGACGCGCGACAAGGATCTTCCATCCGCTCTCTGCGGATTTGTACGTAGTAAAACGTGTGACGTTCAAATCAGCTAGCTCGCCAAGCCTCGTGAGTATGAAAAGATAATCTTGTGTTGACAGTACCACTTCTGAGCTAAGGCCTGGCAGACTTGACATTCTACGGCCGCTGAAGCTCATTCTTGGAGATGATGTAGGTGTGGTAGCACTAGATGAAACGCCCGAGGCAGCGATTTCCTTAGGTCGTCCATCAAGCAACTTGCACAAAGTTTTCAGGGCGTGTAAAAAGGCATCATTGGGGTAATCGGCAGTACTCTCAAACAGTCTCAGTGCTGCTGCTTCAACTGCTGCGACCTCTGATCCTATCCCAGAAGTAGACTTGGCGTCCCGAGCGACCTGGCCAGCATTCATCGTATTGAGGATGGCACCGGCTTGTTGAAGCGTTTCGAATATAATGGTGAATGAAGATTCAAGCGTAGGACCGATTGCAATGGCAACGTTTAGTAACGCTCGCAGACACAGCAAGTTCCTTGTAGAAAGTGTCGGCTTTGCAGCATCACTGGCGGTGCGACGGTGCGATTGTACTTGAGAAGAAAAGCTATCGACACTGAGCAAGCCTTTGGCATTAGAGTAAATGCTAGACGGATTCGGTGATTCAGATACAGGGGACATAGTCCCAGCCATACTTGCACTGAAGAGGTTGGCAGGTACTGCTGACTTGCCGAGAGTGGTCAGGAAGGCGTCACGTGCTGTCGAGAGTCGCAGCAATCCCGAGACCTGAACAAACCTTTGATAGGACCGGATAAGCGCTCTATAATAGTCGTTGTCCAAGGCGGCATTCAGAAAAGTGGAATAAGTTGCTAGAAGTGCTGGCCAGCATTCATCGACCAGGTTAGCGATAGCCTTTACCCGATCGACAGCCGAATTTCCTTCCATTTGCAAAGGGTTGATAGGAACAGTCCGGGATCGATATGATTGAGATCTTTTCTTTCTTGTTTGGGGTGATTCTGAGCGGTCACTATGCTCGCCCTCGATTTTGCCTTCTCGCAAATCGGGACTTTGCATTTTCGTGTTCTCATGCTGCACTGATAATGGCAACACAACCTTCGCCAGATTCTCGGAAAGACCATTCAGGCACTCCAGTACGAGGCCATAGACATATGTCTCTGGCAATGGGGGAGCCTCAGACTTGTCGAGCTGATCGATACATTGGGCTTTGGGGATACTCCACTGAGAGCTAATGCCGGGAACATTGGCCCCATTTACGCCGAGCGCAGCACCAATGACGCCCGCAACTCCGCCTTCAGCATCGACAATTGCTTGCTCCGAGGGAGACTCCCTCTGATTTGCAGGCCCAGTGGGGATCGATGACTGCTGTCCTAGACCAATCACACTAGGTTTCTCCGTTGACAGGCGGACAAAGGTTGCAATGTTGTCCCTGACTATCGTCTTCTTACCCTCGCTCGCGTCGTATTGCTGATAAATTTGCAATGCCAGGCCAGGCTCGGTATATATCATGCGAAACACCTCCATACACATAGCTCGTTTCCAGCCAGCTGCTGCTTCAGGGTCCAGCATGTGAGTCAAAAGGCCAACCACAATCTCGCATTCCTCTGGCATAGCCCCCAAATGTTGTCTGATGACCAATGAGGCTACGCGCATAGCCCGGAGGGTGATGGCAAAGTTCTGTCTCTCTGATATGATGCGAATCAAGAAGGGCATGACGACGGTCCGGACAATTCTTATCTGCTCTGGATGTTGGAGAAATGTTCTGGAGTGCGTTTGCATACAAGCCCCGATCAATTCGAGTCCGGAAACGGGTGAGAGGTTGGAGAATTGCACAAAGTTCGGTCTGCGTCCTTCTGTAGCCAGGGCGATGTCCAGGAAAACTCGATATGCATCATGCGCAGCCGCTCGTAGAGAAATGGGTTCATTGTCCCCAGGTACTTCGGCAACAACGGGAATCTCCAAGGCTCGGGCATCTTCGATAGCCACTTTTTCGAAGATGGAGACGACCAGCTGCTGCAGAGTGGCAGTTGCAACGCCGCTCACAGTAGCCGTCTTGACATTCTGCAATGCAGCGCAGACCTGTAAAGCACCGGCAAGCTGGTCGCCCTTCAGATCGTCGGCATAGGTTTGAGCAAGAGCTGGTAGAGCCTGGAGGACTTTT